AGATAGCTAAGCCGCTATAAGGAAGGTTATAGGTTTCTTAGACCTAGCTATATATATTAAAAGGCTCTTATCTAGCTTAGAAGCCTTTTATAATATATAGCTATATTAGTACCTTAGCTACCTAAGGATCTTTAGTAATAAGCTAGCTAACTAGCTAGCTAAAAGAAGCTTAGAGACCCCTACCTAAGGGGCCCCCTTAGTCTTTATTAGCTACTTATAAAAAAAGGTCTAGTAAGCTACTAAGGACTATTAAAAGGGACTCTAGGCTACTAAGGCGGCTAAAGGCCCTAGGGCTAAGGGCCTAGGTAAGTACTATATATCTATTTAAAAGACCCCCCGCCTAGCCCTTAGCCTAGAAAAGGACTTTATAAGGAGGCCTAGGCCGACCCTCTTAGCCTTTTACTAGCTCTTCTTTAAGGCTAGCTTCCTATTTTCCTTCTTAAAAAGGACTAATAAGGTAGACCGAGACGACTACCGCTATAGCTAAGGAAGGTATATAGCTAGGCACCTTATCTTAAGGTGCCTAAACTATAGGAGGGAAAGAGAGGTCCTTTACTAGACCTTTAAAAGATAGAAGGGGGCCCTTAGCCTACCTATTCTCTATAGCTCTAAAGAAGGAAGGGAAGCCCTTCTAACCTTCTTAGCTAAAATAGAGATAGGGATAGCTAAGTAGCTTAAAAAGAAGTAACCTAGGGGCCCTAGGGCCCTTAAGGGGGAAAATTACTACGAGGGAGGAACTAAACTAACCTTTCCTTTATCCTTGCCTTTATAGCTACCCTTTCCTTAATTAGTTATAAGCCCCCGGGCTCTATAGCTAGCTAGGACTACTAATAAGGGCCTAGGCCCCTTTTAGCCTCGCTATAGCCCTAGAGGCTATATACGAGTAATAATATAAAAAAAAAGTCTTTATCCTACTAACACTTACTCTTTTAGTAGATTAGCCGATAGTAGCTCGAGATTACTTAGTCTAGTAAATAACTCACTCTGCCTTTACTACTATATTAAAAGCCCTATAGGAAAACATTAGTGCAATGCTAGACTGATGTCTAACCATATTATTACAGCCAAAAAAGCTCATGTCGCCTATTATTGTTAGCATTCGCTATACTTAATTGACCCCCTAAACCGTTAGTTTGGCCGTCGAGGTGAGCAGACAGAACAGGATTCAACGTCATGTCCCCTTACTAATATCAAAATAATAAGGTCCAAGCTAATTGGCATCGACATCGTCAGGGTGTATATATATTCTCACTTAACCTATAGCTTTGCAAGGATAAAGGGGTTTTTTATTTACTATTGGCATAGTTATATAATTATTGGTTTAAACACGGGTGTTATCCTCACCAGCCATGCGTAGCCCGTCGTGCTCGGTTCCTTGAGCGAATGCTAATGAAAGTAGCTAGAGCAAGAGGGTACATATCATTGTGGCAAATAGATTGCGTGTCCTATTTCGTGGGTACATGTTGCTCGTAAGGATGAGGGGCTAGCTGGAGATGTTCTTTTTTATCGCTGCCACGGCGCTAAAGGTTTGCTCGAGTCGGTCCGAGGCAATGTCCGGCCACGGTACGGAGGAAGCTTTTAATAGTCGTTGCTAACGCTAAAATAACCCCTATTAAGAAAAAGGAAGAACGTACTAAATTTCTATGGCTCTACGAAGTATTCCCTGCTAATACCGGTACTATCCCTCCTTCCCTCTTAATACTTATTGCCGCCTTCTAATTTAATGATTTTCTATATATACTAAGGAATTCGCTTAATCTAGCTTTATATCTTCTCTTATAGAAACTCTTTCTAAGCTGCCTCCTAAGTAGAAATAGCTTTAGCCCGGCTTTTTAGGGCGCTTTTTTTTATAGTAGTTCTTTTTAGCTAAGGCTAGTAAGGCTTAATAGTATTAAGATTAAGCGAATTACTATACTAAAGAAGGCGCCGGACTTTATAAAGCTATATACCTACTACTAGATATAGTAGTTATAAGCCGGAGCCTTATCTTCTTATATAATTATCCTAGGAAGATCCTTCTTATATTCCTTTACGAAAGGAAAGAGCTTTAGAATTAAGATCTTAGTTTAGTAGCGATACTAATCGATGCCGCCGCGCTTAGAGCTTTAGGAGAGTTTACCGTTCTTTAAATTCTATCGCTACTTAGGCTTTAGTCTAGGAAGCTACCGTAGGTTTAGTCGTCGCATACCGTTATTAAGTTCCTACGTCTCTTTTATTAAGGGCTCTAATTCCTAGTTTATTTTCGCGATATCTTCTTCCGAAGCTTTCTTCTCCGTAGTAGTTTCTAGAGCCTAATAGTAGCAAGGGCCCTTTTTATCGTAGGAAACGCAGCCCTAGAATATAAATTTAGAGGATCCTTTCTATCTCTCGCGAAGATAGCTATAAACGAAACGTTCGTTAGCTTTTCTTTAAACGCGATAGTTTCCTCGGCGGTATAAAAGAATAACCAAAGTCTCGTTAGACTAAATAACCTTCTTTTAATCCTTAAGGGTCTAGTCTTTATACGAGAAACACTACTTAAGTCGGTCTCTTATTATCTTCTTTATTAATCTAGGCTTCCTTATTAGCTTAGTCTTCCGGAAACTAGCTTTCTTTAATACCCTCTATATAGTAATAAAAGATACTAAATACCCTACTAAATTAAGCTCGGTAGTAATATTAGTATAGTTTTTTCCCTTTTATACTAGTCTTAGCGAACCTTCTTAAAAACCTTATTTTTAATAGTAGCTTACTTAGATAAATAGCTAAAACGAGGAGTATCTTAAAGCTATTCGTCTTATATAGTTAACGGTAGCTAGTTTAGCTAAAAGCCTCGCTTAATTACTTAAGCGTATATACTATTAATTATATAAATCGAAATTCTAGTTAAAGAAGAAATCTCTATTAATAATTTGCTGCTATAAGGCGCCTTTAACGTAATAATTAATACTTAAGTTAAAATATTAGTCTTTATTTTATAAGAGAAATAATAGTTAAGTAAAGAAATTAAGGGGAAATTATAGATATAGGAGGAAAAGTATATATATAGGGTTCTTTATTCTTCCTTTTTCTTAATAGGGGTTATTTTAGTATTAGCAATAACTATTAAAAGCTTCCTTTATATAAAGGCAGCCTTTAAAAGATATCGGCTACGCTAAATTAGACCCTATAAGGAAAAAGGAAGTAGTAACTAAATTACTATAGCACCGTTCCTAGCTTATACCTAATCTAGCCTACCCTCGCGATATTTATTACCGCCCTTAAGTTTAATTATTTTATATATATAACGAGGGATTCGTTCGATCTAAGCCTATATCTTCTCTTATAGTAGCTCCTTCTAAGTAAGATCTTAAGCTATAATAGCCTTAGCTCGGCTCTTTAGCGCGCCCTTCTTTATAGTCGTTCTTTTTATCTATAGCTAAGCTAGCTTAATAGCGTTAAAGTTAGGCGAGTTACCGTACTAATAAAGCTATTAAATATCGTAAGAATTATAGAATCGTTGCTAAATATAGTAGTTATAGGCATAAGCCTTATCTTCTTATATAATCGTCCTAGAAAGCTTAGCCTCGTGCTCTTTAATAGAGGGAAAGAGCTTAAGAAGAAGAATCTTCTTCTAGTAGCAGAACTAGTCGATTCCGCCGTACTTAGAGCCTTATATAAGCTTACCTAACTTCTAGTTAAATTTCTATCGAGGTTTAGGTCTAGGAAGTTAATAGAGATATAGTCTTCGTAAGCCGTTATTAAGTTCCTACTCCTCTTTTAATAGGGGTTTAAGTTCTTTATTTATTATTATAATAGCTTTATCTACTACCTTCTTCTTAGCAGCAGTCTCTAGTACCTAGTAGTAGCTTAGGCCCTTCTTATTATATAAAAAGTAGCCCTAGAGTATAAATTCTAAGGCGCCTTTCTATCTCTCGCGGATATAGCTTCGAGTAAAGCGCTCGTTAGCTTTCCTCTATATATAATAGCCTCCTCGTTAATATAGTAAGATAATAAAAGTCTCGTCTACATAAATCACCTTCTTTTAGTCCTCGAGGGTCTAATCTTAGTATATAAGACACTAGGCTAGTCGTTCTTTTCGTATCTTCTTCGTTAAGCCTAGCTTCCTCGTAGGCTTCGTCTTCCGGAAGCCTACTAAGCGGAGGACTCGCTATATAGTCGTTGCTGAGACCGGGTGCCCTACTAAGCTTAGCTCGCTAGCAATATTAGCGTAGTTTTTTTCCCTTCCGTATCTATCGCGGCGAACCTTCGTAAGAACCTCATCTTAGATTATAGGCTGCTTAGAGGGACGGCCAGAACGAGGGGCATCTTAGAGCTACTCGTCTCGAAGGGTCAAGGGCAGCGTATCTGGCTTAAAGCCGCGTTGAAGAGCTCGTGTGTAGATGCATTTAACTGTTCTAAGAGGCACGCTAGTTAAGGCAGTAACTTCAGCAGCCGATTTCCCGCCGCCTCGAAGCACCACAATAAGGGCTCGAGTCGCGATATCTGTTTTTCGCCTCATTGTTGTCGGGAATGTTAAGAAAGGCGGAGGGGCGGTGCCGTACAAAATCGCGTGCGGGGCACTCTGTTTACTTTGCTACTTCCTTTTTCCTTACAGGGTCTAATTTAGCGTGGCCGATAACTTTTGAAGGCTTCCTCCGTATAGGCAACCGAGTACAGTGGAGATCCAGCGGCTCTGCTCAGGCCGACCTCAGCGCTCATCTCCACGCAGAGCTCAAAGCTGCCTGACGGCGAAAAAAAAAATCACGTTCCTTGGTGCAACGTCCCCCCAAACGATCTGAGCCAATCGCTCGCGATTAACACCTCCGAGATCACGATAACGTTCACGACAGAAAGCTCGTGGGACCTGCGCAGACAACAGCAGTCGGTAAATGCTCGTGAGGACGACCTCGAAGTGGCACGCGAGGCGGTTGAGCGCCCCCTCTGTTAATCTACTGCGATTGGCTCCATCTCGCGAGCCCTTGAGCTCATCCTACTCTCATAGCGCCAAAAAGGATGCTCCTGCAAAGACGGGGGAGAAGATGAGGGTGCTGTGTGTGGCTGAGAAGCCCTCCATCTCAAAGGCCGTTGCTGGCCACCTGTCTGGGGGAAGCGTCCAGACGGTGAGACAAGCCCCTTGACCCTCAAAAGCCGCTGGCAGAGCAGCTGATAGCTTCTCCCGCAGCATGGCACGCGCAACCAGTACATCAAAAACTACTCCTTCAACTTTGACTTCGGGCAGCCCTGGGGATCCTGCGATGTGACCATGACGTGCGTCATCGGCCACCTCACCAACGTCGAGTTCACGAGCGAGTACAAGAACTGGAGTCACCCGCCTCCGGAGACGCTCTTCACTGCCCCTGTCATAACCAGTGTCCATGAGGTGAGCAATCGTGTCCTCGAGGCCTCGTCGCGGCCCCGAGCTTACCCCGCGGCAGGACAAGAAGGCCATCACCAAGAACATTGAAGAGCAGGCAAGGCGTGCTCGACTGCTCGTGATATGGACCGATTGTGACCGCGAAGGGGAGCACATTGGCCAAGAAATCGTCGACGCGGCCCGAAAGGGCAATGCAGGCATTCAAGTCAAGCGCGCTAGGTTCAGCAACGTCGAGCGAGCGTAGGTTCGACCGAAATTTAGCGCCTACGGCTTCTCAAGGTCTTTGCTGACCGGCTGCTGCTTCCAGGCACGTTCTTTCTGCCGCCAGACGACTCGCGAACCTGGACGGGAAGCAAGTCAATGCGGTCGCGGCGAGGATCGAGCTGGATCTGCGCATCGGCTATGCCTTCACCAGGTTCATGACCAACAGCCTTCGGCCCCTGGGAGGTCCTTTGGAGAAGCTTACGCTGAGCTACGGTAGGCATACCTTGCGATCCTGCGACGTAACCTCTCGCTAACCAAACAGGGTCGTGCCAGTTTCCGACCTTGGGTTTCGTGGTGGATCGATATTTCCGCGTCAAGAACTTTGTTCCTGAACCGTTTTGGAGCATCAAACTGATGCACACCAAAGAGGGAAACAAGGTAAACTTCAGCTGGGCCAGAAACCGCCTCTTCGACCGCATGGCCACGATTGTCCTCTATGAGCGGTGCCTTGCTGCAAAAAAAGCAAAGATTACCAAGGTCCAGGAGAAGCCGACGCGCAAGTTTAAGCCGCTGCCGCTCACCACTGTTGAGCTACAGAAAGCCGCTACTCGCCTGCTCCGCATGAGTGGTCAGCAAGCCATGACCATTGCTGAGGGCCTCTACAACAAGGGCTTCATAAGCTATCCCCGTACCGAGACAGACCGGTTCGACAAGGGCATTAATCTAAGAACTCTGGTGCAAAAACAGACGCCAGACCAACGATGGGGTCAATTCGCCCAGGGCCTGGTGGATGGGGCGTTCCAGCAACCCAGGGAAGGCAAGCATGACGACAAGGCGCATCCTCCAATCCACCCCATTACTTACGCGGCACCGACGGTGCTGAGCTTTGATGAGGGGCGCCTGTACGAATACGTGGTCCGTCGATTCCTGGCGTGTTGCGCGGAAGACGCCAAGGGCATGGCGACAGACATCGATTTAGAGTACGGTGACGAGCTGTTCCATGCCCGTGGAATCATTGTCCTGGAAAGGAATTACCTCGACGTCTACGTATACGAGAAATGGGACAACACAGCGGAACTGCCGAAATTCACAAGAGGAGAGCAGTTTGAGCCGACCGAGGCCATGATGAGCGAGGGCAAGACGTCACCGCCAAGCTATCTTACGGAAGCCGACTTGATTGCCTTGATGGACGCCAACGGGATCGGAACAGACGCCACCATGGCCGAGCACATCCAAAAGATCCAAGACCGAGAATACGTCGCGACCACGGACAGAGCTGGAACTGCTAGTGAAGGGGATGGAGATGAGGCCTCCGAAGCCCCTGCCCGCGGACGAGGCGGCGGGAGAAGCCGAAGAGGCGGGCGGGGAGGCACGGTATTGGCTGCAAGAAAGGGCGGCCAGAAAGTCTTTATACCGACTCAGCTCGGCGTGGCGCTGATCCTGGGCTTTGACCGCATGAACTTTGAGACTAGCCTGGGCAAGCCGTTTCTGCGCAAAGAGATGGAGCTCAAGATGAAGGCCATCTGCGAGGGCAACACGACGAGGGAAATGGTTCTCCGAGAGAGCATCGCCCAGTATCGGCATGTCTTTATGCAGTCGCAGGAAAAGCTAGGCGTTTTACGTTCGGTAAGTCGAACCTGGAAGCCCTGGTATCACAGATTGTATCTGACCTGCGTCTAGGCATGCCGCGAGTTCGTCTTTGGCCAGTCGGCGAACTAAGCAACACTCATTTGCAGAAGGCTCGTCTTGAAACTGCACATGGATGGCATGTCTTGTCCCAGGTGATGTGGCATGGGATCGAGCTCGGTCATAATGCTCCGGAGAAGGACACTGGACGCTTCTGACTTGATCAAGTCTCAATATCTCGGAGTCGGCGCTGCTCCGGGTCGAGGCCGAGTCGAGACGTCGCAGATGGTACTTGTCTTGTACCTACCTGTGAGTCTACAAAGTGTTCATGAGCTGAAGTCTGCTTTTGCTCATACTCGCATTATTAGATCTCCATCATGGACAGCGGTCACGAAATGCACATGAAAATGGCTTTGCTGAAAGTGGGAGACCAAACCTAGTTGCGGCCGCAATTCGCCCAGCGCAACAGCTGCGAGGCAACCTGGCTTGGGGGAGGGGTCGCCGTATGACACCGACGTCATCCATCCGTCTGAATGGACGCCTTAGCCGCATCGAGGAGGAGCTATTGGCGCTGTTGGCTGCCCGATTCGAGCCGTTGCCGTTTGCTGCGCTGACGCAGGTTCGACGCCGGTCCACTGGCGCTTTCGGACAATGCATTTTTGAAAAAGCGGAGGCTCAAGCCATAGCGTCGCTCGGTGGCTTGGGCGTGGATGGAAACATGACGGCCAGAGTCCGTGCCCGAGCGTTTGCCGCCGTGCTTTGTCTGGCGAACCGAGGTCGCGGACCGGGGCGGATCGGAGGAAGGGCTTCGGGGAAGAAGCTTCCAGAGCACGGGCAGGACTCTCTCGAGGCGATTGGGTTGTATTTAGCCTTTAGCGGAATCATGGGCTGGCGTCAAGACGGCTTCGTCCAAAGCGGCAGCACGGAAGGCCGGCCTGCCCAGCTCGACGAGGGCGAGGTCCAATCAGGATGGGGCGCGGGCAAACGTGCATGCGAACCACTAGAAGCTTGTTGGGCGAAGATCTGGTGGCTGTTTACGAAGCTGGTGGTCATCTTGTGTTAGGCTTAGGCCCGTTCCAAAGACTCGACCTGGGTCCTTGTAAACGCATCTGGACTTGGGCTGTATTGCACTTGCAGGGTATTTGCAGCTATAGGGTGGAGATATCTGGGCGAGTGTCAGCTGGGGCGCATGACGTTCCAGGGTACGTGGGCCACGGTTGCCCGCTGCAGGCCACGCACGATTGGACACTAGTCTTCTTCACCAGCCCGCACGCAGCGGCATGACTAAGATTGCTTGGTTCAAGGCACCGGTGGAAGAGAGGGAGTTTTTACCCCTAAAGAAGAAAGCCGCTATGCTTTCTAGGATGTAGTTTATAAGCTGCAAATTACTCCGTACAGCGGGCTGGGCTCGCCACCCTGGTTCCCGTTTGTTAGCGCTCCGTGCTGTGGGCGACAGTACTCTGCCGGGGTGGGAGAAATTAACCACTCTCCCTTGGCCGGTGTAAACAGCGAACCGGCTTTTATTATTAAGGTGACTGACAGTCGAAGCATCCCCAAGGTCCCCAAGACGTCGAATTTCGCACGGGCTGTCTCGGACCTCTGTCTCTTCGACTTCAAGGCACATACCAAGTCTCGGTCAACGCTGACGCCGAAGCAAAAGGTGCCCAGCGGGCCGTGGAGGAAGAATGTCCGCCAGGGACAGTGAGCGGATCCACCGCTATGACGTCTTGCAGCGACGTGACGTGGGCTCTGCGTCTGCCCGGAAATGGAGGGGGCTTAGATGACGGCGGTCACGATGACAGTATGTGCGCGCACACAAAGAAAATTCCAAAAATCCCCACGAGGAGTTACAAAAGGACGACGCGCCTTCAAAGCACGAGGACCTGGATGGGTGCGAAGCCCGAGAAGCTGCACGTGCACCTGCAAAGCCCGTCGCCCCGAGCTCAAGATCCGAGGTGCGAGGCGGTACCGACAGTGGGTTCAAACGCCGTTGCTTGGAATGGCGGCGAGGTCAAACATCCAAGGCCGTTGATGACTGAGCGAGCGATGTTTCCCGTCAGCTTATCCCGAGCGCGAGTAAGTGTGGCCAAGATGTGGGACATTGTCCCGATGCAACCCCCGCGTCGCCCTTCCCCGCGACCCATCGCGATGCGTTTCGCCTGCCGTCGGTTTCTTGATCTGGCCTGGCCTGATGATGTTGCTTGGCCGACTGACGGGCATCGTGGCTGACGAATACCATCTACCCACTCTGTACGGAGTACACAGCAGGAGCTGTCCCTGTTGCAGCTCGTACCGGTATCGTTGGAGTTATTCAATATTATTGGCTGTTTTTGCTGCGCAAGACAGGTGTGTGTTTCTGCGCAGGCATGACCAAGTCAAGAGAAAGACTGATGAGATAGATTGGACACACGGAAACGAATGGGTGGGATTCCCTTCCATCATTGGCTCGATCGGGTGTCGGTCACAAGATACCAGCGTGGCCCAATCCTTTGTCTCACTGCGCACACGCCCCACCTCCCGCCCCAGAAGACCACACCCTCTCGCCTGCGCCTGTCTCGCCTTGGTGCATGGCAGCTTGCGGATGGTTGACCAAGGGGGAGGCGTAAACGTAGCTCCCGGCTCGCTTCTGTCCCTCCTCGAGGCTTGCGACGAGCCCGTGCCCTACCTTGATTGCTCAGGCCCGCACAGTACTGTAGGTACTTGCGCCGTACATGCCTCCACGAGACACAGAGACGAACACTCTACCCCTTCATGGGAGTTACGACTGTACTGTGCCGGTAGCCTGTAGGCTTAGCCCCAAGTCAGTAAGGTCACCTTACATTACCCGGCCGTCGCCATCTCCTCCTCCTCGTCCCCCTTCTCTCCTCTTTTTCCCTCCTTCAAAGCAAAACCAAGCACGCAAAACAAACCACACGATTCGCATCGAGAATCACCCCGTCACAGTCCCAGTGGATCACGCAGCTCTGCCAGCCCGCCATTATCAGTCGCCCTGTTCCTGACAGCCAGCGACCGCTCGAAGCCGTCCATCATCACCCTTTCCGCGACGGCTGCATCAGGTACGTACCTATCCGGCTTTCGCTTCTGCCCCTGCGGCGTGACTCAACGGGTCCCATCTCGACGGCCCTCTTCCCCATCACCTCGACGCGCTCTTTTGCGCTCAGCGACCCATTCATCGCTGTCTTCATGCTGCTCGAAGACTCGCAAAGGAGAGGCCGGCTCTTGCTGACTCTCTTCCCTCGCAGACTACCTGCTCTGAAGCAAACGCAAACCCGCCTGATAACAATGGCTTCCCTGGCATCGGCTGCTCGTGACATCCCCAAGGCCGCCTCCTCGAACCGAGACAACTTAGCTGTTGTAGCGGATCGGAGCGACTCGGCGACTGTGGCGCATTCTCATACCCTCCCGACTCCCCCAAACTCGATATCCCCGGCTTTGCCTGCCCACGGCCTCAAGGCTCAGCTCCAAAAGGCTAATCTCGATCCCGTCGACTCCGACTTGGACCTCCACGACAATGCCTCGCCCCGTAGCAGGTTATCGTCCCCCGCCGCCCACGAGGCCTCGGGCGCCATCACTAGCGCCATGCTCGCCAAGTACCACCTTCCGGACATCTTACTCAACCACGGTCCTCTGGCCATCAGGCACATCATGGGCTACCTGACGACGTCGGTTCCGGGCTTTTCCGGCATTCCGCCCACAAAGGCGCGCAGAGTCGTGGTCGGGGCTTTGGAGGGGCGAGGCGGAGGCGAGAGAGGGGGGTTGCACGGGGACGTGGACTTTGAGAAGGTGGGATGGGGTCGCTGGAACGCTCGTCGCGACCGTCGACGCACTCCGCCGGCCTCATCCGGTGCGGCCATTCCCATCTCCAGGATTGGCACGCGAAGCCAGGAGAGAGCCCGGGCAAACGTCTCCGGGTCCGTCGGGGAAGAGTCGGTTCATTTCTCCCACGACGATCAAGACATTCACTTGTTGGAGACGGAGGCCGACAAGATGTCCATGGACGGTTCCGCCTCGGCCTCGTGCTCGGAGGCTCCCGACGACGACGTTGCCATGAACGACGATCCCGAGGATGCCACCGACGACGAGGACTGGGCGGCCATGGGTGCCGCGGCTCTCAGGGCCGAGTCGTACCCCAACATGGCTGTTGCCCAGTCTAGCGCCAATCTTCGACCCGACTTTCTTCCCGGGGGGCTGCGTTCCTTTTCCGCGACCTCCGGCATGGCGCGTCCGCCGCTCCAGCCGGCGAACCTTGACCTGGTGGCTCTGGCGGCCGCGTCTGATGCCCAGGAGCGCGAGGCTGTCGAAGCTCTTCTACGACTCGGATCTGTATAGTATTGACTGCATGCAAGGCGTTTTGGTGCACTCGGGCTTTTACCCCACCCTTTGTTTCTGGCTGCGGGATATTCGATTTGAGCGACGGGCCCGTTGGCTGTGCCACGGAATACGCGTTTCGACACACGACGATCGAGGCGGCGACCTCTGCAACACACCACTTACGCTTACGACGACACGTTTCTCTTTCTTTTGCAAATATGGGGGCTTTTCTTGCTGGGCCTTGCCCGAACCTCGTGGCTCATTGAACGGCTCGTGACCGCAGTCATCCAATTTAACTGGCTGGAAATCGGCGCCACGGAAGCTAACTTGGCCAACACCATGCCTGGCCGTATGGACTGGACCGTGCGATTTCCGACTTTCGACTGCTTACTGGCTGCTTTGCTTGATGGCGATAATTGATGCCAAGTCGGCATCTCGGGGCAACGCCGTGCTGGAATCGCTCGCTGCCTCTTTCCATGGGGCAGTATACCCTCGATGGGGATTTCGGCCAATTTCTCTTCTACGCTTCGACCATTGCATCTTGCTATTTTGCAATTAGGCTTGTACCCATCTAATTAACGGGCTTTTGGCGCACGGTTCACCATTCAACAATGCTGGTGAAGCCGATATATTGCTCGAACAACCCCATCGCTCGGCAAAGCCGAGGATGGAACCTGAGCTATGGAGCGCCTGCCCTTGGCGTCTTGCATTATTTGTCCTCGTCCAACATGAGGATCTGACGAATCTTATCGGAGGAAATTCGAACATACTTTTTTTTATAGAGATGGGAGGGGTAATGACGGCTTTATCATTATCTGCGTGGGAGAAGCACGGCGCTACCAAGATGCAGAATTGAGAGGGATGAGGCAGGGGCATGTGAAGGGACATGCAACGGCCACTTGACGGTGTCGAAAATATCAGCCAGGGGAGGAGACAGGTTGAGAAAAAAAGGGAAAAAAATAGGAAGGGCGGCTAGCTCGAGCGAACGACAGCCACGATCGCAGTCGACGATTGAGGCTCAGCACTGCTGAAATGGAACTCCTGATGCAGCCCCTCCCACAATTGTTTCCCGGGTCGGTCTTGTGAGATGATTGTGGGTGGCGCGATGTTGGTCGTGAATGAGGAGCCGCCATGGTCCTGCGAGTGCAGACTGACTTTTGATATGGCGGTTTCGCGTGCTCGCCCAAGGCTGAGCATGTCTGAACGCATGTACGGAAGGGCTTGCTCCAGCCTTTATGAGAGAGGGAACGATCGTCAACCTCTTGTCCGCAGACTGCAACGTAGGCACAGCTCGTGGCGACTCTTGATGGGTCTTGCAGCCGCCGCCTTGGGCTCTCTTTCGAGGACTGCTAATGCAGGACGTCTGAGGAAGGGCAGCCAAGTCGGGGCCGAAACCGGCTGTCAAGTTGTCCGGTGCACGGGGTATGTATGTTGTGCAAGGTGGGAAAAGGCCGGACGAGCACCTGACGTACTGATGCAGACGATGCAAGCATGCGGGTAGGTGGATTATATGACCGAGGCACCAGAGGCTGTACCACCGGACCGGCCCAAGCCATTGCCGTTTTCCCACGGCGGGTTGGAGATGGGAGAGGGAGGAAATGCAGTGTCATGTTGGCATGTCCTCGTGAGCGTGCGGCTTCAAGGATGCAATTGGGGGGAACGGAATCTGGGGGGCGGCTAAGTCGGCACGGGGGAGGGGGGATGACGAGGCGAGAGGGAGAGAGAGACGCCACGATGGGGGTTGGGAGTGATGTGAGCTACGTGTTGGATGGCGCTTTTGGTCGTGGCGGACGTTGTGCCAAACAGAGGGATTACTGATCTGATATTAAGGAGAGGCAGATGAGGACTCGGGAGTCATGCGCCTTCCCCGGAGGAGAACGGGGGATGCGTATGCCCGTGTGGATGGATGGCTGGACGGATGGAGGGCGATGGAGGGCGATGGAGGGCGATGGAGGGCGATGGAGGGCGATGGAGGGCGACGGGCGGGTTGGCGGGTTGAGATATGGGCGGCAGAGGCGCAAGGGACGGCATCGGTGGCACGCGAGGGGGCTGTCGGCACGGGTGAAGAGGAAGCCGGTTGGCAGATGAATTACAGATGGATGCCGAGACGGCATGGCGATCTGCCATATGTACATGGAGCGTGCAATTCCGTACGTGGACAGCGGGCAATGGCAGGCATGGGAGGTGGCAAATACAGATGGGCAAGGCACATGGACGTGCAGCTGTTCATCTCACAATGGCACGATGGATCTGGAAGGCTGCTCTGGAAGGGCTGCTTTGTTTGGATGTCCTTCCTTTCCTTTCAGGACAAGTAATTATATGATGTCGGCATGCAAGGCCAAGGGAAGCGGAAATGGCAGGCGGAAAAGGCCCCCTTCTCAGTGCTTTGCTGCGGCAGGCAGGGCAGGCCGCTGACTAAAGGCCCCAAGCAAACAGAAAGACCAAGAAAAGACAGGTCCTGCCTGTATTAATAGCGCGTTGCAAAGCGCCGACGCCTCTGTCGGATGAATGGGCTGCTGCGCCTCGTGTCCCGCTTGGCTCTTGCGTGTCTGTCTTTCTGTCTTTCTGTCTTTCTGTCTTGGGCGATGCATGCTTGCCTCACGCTTGCATTACGCTTGCATTAACGCCTGCATTACAGCACGGGCATCGGCTCTTTCAGCAGCAGCAGCAGTTGGAGCGCGGGAAACGTCGCGCCGAATGGCTTGCATGTTTTAGTTACGGTTCGGATTAGCCTCGTGAGCCAAGACGCTCCCTCTCTTGGCTCAATGCAGCCAATGCCGTCCGTGTTTGGTGGCTGCTCCCGACGGAGGAGAAACGTGGGCACTGACTTGACTTGGGTTGAGTTTGCTTGGCCTGCACCTGAGGGGGATTGACGGCGGGCTCCCTCGTATCGTCCTTGTAACTTGATACAGTATTGGCCAGTCTCGGCACATGTACCGGGACTGCGTACAGATACCTATACCTACCCTACCTAGATACCTAAGGTAGCTAGATACCCTTCGAAAAGGTTGCCTGCCACGTTTGCGGCTCCTGTTCGCGAAGCCTGCAGGCTGCCGACCCCGTGCCGCCGGTTGCTTTTCCCTGCAACGGGCCGCCCACCACCACACTGTCGACACTGCAGTACAACGAGGACTGCGCAGAGCGTCATGAACCGGTGAATCCGTCTCCATCCACTGCCGTTTTCTGTAAAGGCCCCCGCCACAACTCACAAAGACGCCCAGCCAGCCCAGTCTTTTCACCACCGGCAGTGGCAAGGAGACGTGTCGGGGTCCCGTGTGTCCCGAGGGCGTCGTATGATGCGAGTCGGGCGCGTCCAGCCGGCTGGGCGGAGGCGAGCGACGACGCCTGCCCAAGGCAGAAAGCTTGATTCCCGGCCAAGAAGAACACGTGCCAAGTCGACGAGCACGTTCAGGGTTCCCGGAGGGCGCGTGTCGTTTGTGCCCTTGTTCATGCAAGGGCAGCGAGGCCGTCGGTATTTCGCTCGGCTTCGTCTGTGCTACCCACAGTACAGTACATCAGCAGAGTTGTAACGTAGGTGAGGGCGGTGGGTGGTGGTATCCGAGGTCGGGTGATTGATTTGGATGGATGGCGATGGCAGTTCTCTCTCACCCTCTCTCTCCCTCTCTCTCCCTCTCTCTCCCTCTCTCTCCCTCTCTCCCCCTCTCTCCCCTCTCTCTCCCTCTCTCTCCCTTCTCTCCCTCTCTCGCCCTGTCATGCCCTCGGGAGCACGAATGCGACTTTGCAAGGGGGAGCGGGCAAACCTCGTGTTGACAGACAGAACCCACCATGGACGGCTAACCCCGATCCAAGTTGCCACTTTACTGTGCAGTGAGTTACTGAGTTGCATGCTTTGATCTAATCTCTCGCTCCGTCTGTCTCTGTCGCTGCACATGTACGGCTGACTCGCGCAGAATACAGGCAAAAAGCAGACTACACGTGCAGCGCACCCGGTGCACTGAGGTAGTAGTAGGTAGGGGGGAAGAAGGGGGGGCGTGGTGCCTGGGGCGGTTCCGAGCACGCACATGAATACGCCGGAGAGGCCGGCCAGGACAAGGCATTGTGAGGCTAAATTACACGCACATACCAGAACAAGCATTGACGGCGAGCGTTTCTGTTAGTCACAGCATCTCTAGCGCATCCGCCCAATTTTGTGCAGGTGCCGGAGGCATGTATTCCGTACAGTGCAGACAGAACTGAGCCGGTACGTACATGCGTGCAACGGGCTGCCGCACCTCGGTCCGTTGGGGAAAATCAACCTTCGCCGGCGTTGCATCATGCTGCGTCGCTTGTAAAACGCTTGACGCACACAGCGAGGGCGCCCCGGCCAATCAACGGCCGGCCACACGCCAAGCGCCCAGACCTCGCCAAGCCCTTGGCGCCTTGGCACGAGCCAGCTCCGCCGTCGCCCTCCGTGTCGCTGCGTTAGTGCGAAACACCTACCTCGCCCGCGCCCCCGCCTGCGCCCAGGTCGCTTCCATCGCCGCTACATGGCCGGCGGTGCCAAGACGTGCCAAGACGTGCCAAGCAATTCCGCTCGCCCTTCCTCTTTTTTTGCCCAGCTTCTTGTACGAGTGTAAAGGGAGCAACTGCCCCCCCGGATCCTCCTTCCTCGTTCTTTGTAAAGGCCCTCATTCCCCTTCCCACCCCCAATCGTTTGCCCAGCACGTTTGCCCAGCACGTTTCCCCCTTTCCCGAATCATCCATCTTGTCGGCTTTGTTGCGGCAGGAGCCAACGCTGCAGCGACGGCGACTTCACACCTCGTTCTTGGTCAACGGCCCAACGTCCCCGCTAAGCGACCACCTCGTCGTCTGTCTCGGGAGAGCCGCGCCTCGGCCCATCCAATACTCCGTCATGACATCGCAGCTGCACGACGCCGCCCAGGCGTCATCGGCCTCGAGCAACGACTCCAAGGCCAATACGCCTGCTCCCTCCAGCGCCACCTCGACGTCTTCCCAGCACAACATTGCTTCCCCCGAGGACAACCTGACGTGCCGCTGGAATGCCTGCAACCAAAAATTTGGCAGCCCAGAGATGCTCTATGTCGGTTGCTCTCCCGCTACTCGTTGCCGCCCAGAAACTGACGTCCTCCAGGAGCACATCTGTGAGCGTCACGTGGGTCGCAAGAGCACAAACAACTTGAACCTCACTTGCCAGTGGAACGCCTGCCGCACAACCACGGTCAAGCGTGACCACATCACCTCGCACATCCGCGTCCATGTGCCCCTCAAGCCGCACAAGTGCGAGTTTTGCGGAAAGAGCTTCAAGCGGCCCCAGGACCTGAAGAAGCACGTTAAGGTGAGGCTGTCACTTGACCGACTTGATATGTGCACCGCGTCTGACATGTCCTTGCCCCAGACCCATGCAGACGACTCGGTCCTGGTCCGCCCGGGCCAAGACCACCAGGCAGGCCTCAACTACCGAACACAAGCTGTCAAAGGTGAGCTGCCCTCTGCTTGCACCATCATTCCGGCGACGGGAAACGCTTTCTCGGAGAAACTCATTCTAACGCCCCCCGTAGGCCCCAGCTACTATGACCACAACGGCCAGATGCGAGGTGGCGTAGGCGCCTTCTCCCACCCTCCGGGCCACAACGGAGGCTACTACGCGCCCCAGCCGTCTACCAACTACGCCCTCTATTTTAACCAGACGCCCCTGGGCCCCCCCCGCAGCGAGCACGTCGGCTATGGCGCTGCCGCCGGCTACGACCGCAAACGCGCCTATGACCACCGGGCCTACGACGCCATTGACGACTTCTTTGGCAACGCCAAGCGTCGCCAAGTCGACCCCACGTCGTACGCCCAGATTGGCCGCTCCCTGCTTCCGCTCCACAACTCGCTCTCCATCTCCCACGGTCACATGGCGGGCGCCGAGCAGTACATGCCTCAGCCGCAGCCCGGCCCGGCCCCGGCCGCCATGGTCCACCCGGGCCCGGGCCCGACGACGAACCCGCTGACGCAGCAGTACTACCTGCCTCACACCATGCACAACGCCCGCACGCAAAAGGACCTCATCCAGCTCGACAACCTCTTGGGCCAGATGCAGGACACCATCTACGACAACGCCAACCACGCCACGGCCGGCGTCCACATCCACAGCGGCCCCGAGGGCAACCTCGGTGGCTTCCGTCACAGTCCGTCCCCGACGGTCGTCCAGCGCTCGCCCGGCGGAATGCCGGTGCCGGCCGACGGATACCACCACTCCGTCTCCGCCGCTAGCATGGCATCGCCCTTGACGGCCATCTCCTCGACAGGAACGCCTGCCGTGACTCCGCCGTCGAGCACCATGTCGTACACCTCGGGCCACTCTCCCAGCCCGTCGGCGTCGGGCCTGTCGCCGCAGTCGCGCCATAGCTCGACGGCGTCCGGAGTCATGTACCCGACACTGCCCACAACGCTGCCCACGGTGGCGCAGGGCTTTGGGCAGTCGACGACGGCGACGCTGGGACCCAGCTTCGAGAGCAACGAGCGTCGGCGCTACTCTGGCGGCATGCTGCAGAGGGCGCGAGGCATGCCGCCTCCCCGGCCCGCCGAGGAGAGCGGCCGGGTGACGCCCAAGGCAGGTGACTCGGCGCTCTCGGTCGGGTCTCCGTCGTCGGAGTCGGACAGCGAGTCCATCAAGGAGCGCGAGGAGCAGTACGACCGCTGGCTCGAGAACATGCGTGTCATCGAATCGTTGCGCGAGTACGTGCGCGGCCGGCTGGAGCGTAAGGAGTTTGTCGACGAGGCAGAAAGGGCCAAGGCAGAACAGGCGGACAAGGACAAGGCGGCGGTGGGGGAGGCGATGGACGTGGACGTCAAGAGCCCCAAGAGCCCTGTCAAGCAGGTGCTTGGGTCGAGAGAAGGGGCCTTGTCGCTGTATCCGGTGCTACCCGTGCCGGGCTCATGATGTGGCCGTGTTGGGCGTACGTACCGTTTGTGCTCTAAAGGGCTTGGCCAATTTCAGGCCGACTGTGCCCGGGATTGGATGATGAACTGACTTGTGTCGAATGTTTGGTCATGATTTGTTGCAGTGGAATGCCAAGGCGTTCGGGGCTTTTTCGACAAGGGGGTTTATGTGCGTTGCAATGCCGATGGTGGAGGCGCTCGGGGTGAGAGGAGGAAAAGAAATGGCACGGAGCTGCAACGGTGCATTACATAATAATGATGAGGCCTAGGATTGTGTCAAAATCCAGAGGGATTCCATGTTGGACACCAACGGCATCGTCGATTGGCGAAGCTGCAGAGCCTAGGGCAAAAGGGCGCGGTGCATTTTCGTGTCGGATGGAAGAAGGCTGCATGCCACTGGACGCCAAAGGAACTATTGGGGCGAAGGGTCCGGGATGGAACAATGCCGGGAATAGAGTGAGGGTGGCGAAGGACTCTTGTCATGATGTTTATGGTAGCGTACAGTAGTTAGTTGGCAGCGGTCAAGGACGGGTGCAGTCCATGGATGGCGTGGCATCCCAGGCTTTGCGTCGTCGGGATTGGCAGCAGAAGAACGGGAGCTGAGTTCTAAAAATGGGCTCCAGACCAAGACATCAAGGTACTGGATGTACGCACAGCGTATGGATGACGGGCATGTAGACAAGCAGGGTAATATAAATAAAGGCGGCTTCAAAGGGACCAAGCATGTGGTGATGGTGGTTGGTGGACGGGCTGCCCAACTAGCTAATAAGCCGGTCTCGGCTGCAGATGGCGCCGTGGAGGGCTGTGGGGGAGGAAGAGAGAGGCTGAGATGGATCGGATCGACAGGGTTCAAAGATGAAAAACATGTCAGCCCAGAAAAGGATGGGAAAAAGAAAGGAAAAAAAGGTCCCGGGCAGGATGCAGCGGGAGGGAGTCGACGGGCCGGGGTGGGGGAGTCAAGGGGGTGTGTGAATGGAGGCATCGGATGTGGTGGGTGGCGTGTGGTGTGTGCCTGGCCAGGAAGAGAATTAATCACCTAACCCTCACCATCTGATGGAAATGAAATTTCTTCAACATGGTGGTCTGGGAGAGGTTCGGCGGCGACGAGGGGAGGAGGCGGTGCATGACATCAATGTGATGCGACGCCGACGGCGGGGGGGCACGGCGGGGAGCACGGCGGGAACGCGGGACCGGCCCACGATTAGTTTGATGCTCGACGACGACGACGACGACGCCACGCCGCCAACGCGCCTCTCCATCCATCCATGCAAGGCTGGTTTGTGCCGCTGCTAGCCAGGGGAATCTGGACCCGGGGGGAAGGTCTGTTGGCTCGGTCGGACCAAGGTTCCCGGCAGCAAGTACCAAGGCAATGGGGCCTTGAATCGACGGGCGGATGAAAAGCCAACGGACGCAGGCGGCCGGAACAGCCGGGCAGCGGGCCTGGACCCCCCCATGTGTGGCCCTACATGGATGGACCTGCGGGTTGCAACGAACCTATGCATGCGGCTGCGGTCTTTTTTTTTCTTTCTTCTCCGTCTCTCTTGGCTGTTTCTTTTCTTTTTTGCTTGGCTATCGTTTTGTCCGTGCTTCTCGGCCGGGCCTCTTCCTCCTCCCGCGCGTGGTGGGTGGGTGTGAGTTTGTGCGTCGAGGGCGAGGCCATGCGAGAAGCTTTGGTGTAACGAGGTTCTGCGTGTGTGTGGTATGTAGGTCTGGGCTGCCGAGAGGACCTTGGTGTGGTGGCCCCTTTTCCCTTGCTCTCGCGCTCTCGGGTCGTCGGGCTCTTGGTTGGTGAACTTTTGTTTGCTCCGAGGCTGCTCCTCCGTCGCCCTTGACGCGGCCGCTCTTGCATACATACCTGCTCACTCTTGCGCCTCGCACCCCCTTGCTCTCTCTTGGCCTTTTTTTTCCAGCTCCTACACTCACACCACCCCGGGCCCTTCCCGCTTGGGCTTACAAAGTAACTTGGTTAGCTTTCAGAGGCGCTCAGATCATAAAAAGGGCACGGCTGTCCTCTGGTTTTCTTCATTCCAACATCATCATCATCATCATCATCATCATCAGCAACAGCAACAAGTCTCCAACCAACTCAGTCTTTACAAACACACAAACACACACACACACACACTCACACACACACACCCTTCACAATGCTCTTCTCCGCCATCCTCTCCACGGGCATCGCCCTCCTCGGCGCCACCACCGCCGCCGCGCTCCCCGCCGGCCCGTCGACGGACAACGCGTGCTGCTGCTGTGACGTCAGCCGCGAGGCCATTGCCTGCACCCACACCATCAGCAAGGCCGACTGCTTCTGCACCGCCGTCGTGTGCCCCAAGAACGCACCCATCATCATTGACGACTAAAAGGGCCGTCTGTCGTCTGTCGTTCAAGTCGCCGGGGCGTGGTGTGTGGGCCAACCGGGCCTCGGATCGGAATCTCCTCCGATGAGCCCCACAAGCCGGGGGGGGGGGGACCCGCCTGTTGAACTTATTCCCCCGCTACGCACGCCTCTCTCTTTGACAACTTGCGGCGGTCTCGACACTGGCAAGAACAACGCTTTCCTTGTATAAACGAGAAAGGGGGGTTATGGTTATATTGGGCTGGCCTGGCAGGCAAGGTTTAAAAAATGGCAGAAAGGGCAAAGACAAAAGTTTTGGAAGCAAGGAAGAATACTTGCTTGCTTGGGGTTACGCATGTAATGAGACAGACGCCTATACCTGGTTCCTTAATATCCTTTCTCTCTCGCTGATCCTTTATCTCTCACTGTGATGTATTAGTGACGCGTACGAGTGATGGTGCCTGTTTCAGTGAGATGCACGTCCCCGTGATTATAGTGCTTGTTTATACAATTGGGCTGGGCGTCTTTACATGTTTTACATGAAGCATGTGCAAGTCGAAAGGTGGTTATGCATCGGGGCTCAACGGCCGTTCATCTTGGACATGTTTGCGGTCGACGCCAAGAGTCACGCAAGCACGATGGCTTGGCGTGCGGAACGTTGTTCGATGTCCCAGCTATCGAAAAAGGGGTGGCGACTGGATGAGGCTCTCCATCCATGTAGTCACTCGCCAAGTGGACGAGCGGGAAAAACATGAAGATTGGGGAATGATGAAGAGTAGTGTGTAACTCTGCAAGCAAAGACCAAGCATGTCAACTCAATCGCCGCATGACGAGGATGCGGAGATGTCTTGGCCGTCCTAGGTGTTCGAACGCCTCATGCCCCTGTCAGGCTTTGGCTGGGTGGTTGAAGCAGCGAGGATCGGAGCGGAGACGGGAAGCCGTTTCACGGCCGGGAAACCTACGGCTAGTTGGCGCCATCGTCGCACCGAGCCCGGTATCACTAGTTATTAGGTATTTACATTGAAGAAAGAGGGTGTAGATTGCGCTGTCCTGCCTAAAAGAGGGAGTCCGTGGGCATGACTATATATATATATATATATACGAAGTATAAGGGGGAATAGGTTTCCCTACTAATCCGGTAGCTTACGGTTACCCGGATCTATTAAGTAACTTCCTTAGCATCCCTTAGGTTAACTACCGTATTTAGTACCTCTAGATATAGCAATAGTATTATCTTTGCTTCTAAGGGTAAAGGGCACGCCTATTAGTATATATAGGTATAAGCTTAACCTTTAATAGCTATATATTAGTTTATAGCTTATTAAGACCCTTATTAAGTCTTAAAGACCTTTATTAAGTTATAATATACCCCTTTAAGCGTTATAGACTATTATAAAGACTATAATACTTATTTATTATATTATTAATATATTATAAGTACTATTAATACAAATAAATTTAAAACTAAAGCTATTTATAGTTATTAAAACTTTATAAAAACTTTAGCTATATTTAAAGCTTATAATAATATTATAATAAGACTAGTTTTAATAGCTAGTAATAGACTTATAAGTAAGCTTATTAGTAAGGCGCCTAATATATATAAAATATAAGATAGAGCGCTCTAAACCCGCTATAATAGTAACCTTCTTATAGGGAGGGGGCTTAAAAGGAGGCGAGCCGCTACTACCTAAGCTAGCTTCTTAGTTAAATATTATAAAGTAATAGTAAGCGATTTAAGTATAGTATTAGAGAGATTTAAGGAGATAAAAATAAGGTAGGTAAAAATCGGAGCCTATAAAAGAGATAACCGATAGAGAGGTAAGAGGAGGTAGGAACGAAACTAAGGAGGGAGGGCAGGTATATATATATACGAGCTAGGGGCGCGTAATTAATAACTACACGATAGACGGTATATATAGGCCGCTACGCCCCCGATTAAGAAGTCGCGCGGCCGGATAGGAACCGATTTTCGATTAGCGGAGCCGGCCGACCGAATTTTAATTAGCCGGCCCTACCTAGGAGCGACCTATACTAGCGCCCGGCCCGGCAACCGGATATTACTTGCCCTACTAACTAATAGACCGATAGGCTAACGCGGCTATAGCTATATAGTAGCAACGCGGGAGCTATAGTTAATAAAGGCGCCCGCGAGTTAGCTCTTAGAGAGAGACTACTACCTATAACCCTAGGCCTAGGCTAGCGAGCCTAGGCCGCGGCCGCTTAAGATAAAAGCAGCTATAGCCTAAGAGGGCCTATACTAATAAGTAAATACGTAGGAGAAGCTTATAGTAGCTAGCGTAAATTTCTTATATACTACTACTAAGACCTTATTTAAGGTAGGCTTATATTAAAAGAGGGAAGGGTTTTCCTTTTAGTACTTTAGTTTTTCTCTCTTATTTAATATCGAAGTTTTAGATACCTTTAGCTAGGTCCTTAGTATAATCTTAATAATAATAATAATATAATAAGTAAATATAATAGCCCTTTTAAAACAATACTATATTAAGAAGAAAGTACCTTTTATAATATAATAGTTAAGCTAATAACTATTAATTAAGATTATACTAGTAACTTAACTAAAGGTATTTAAAACTTTAGTATTAAATAAAAAGGAAAAACTAAAGTACTTAAAGGAAAACCCTTCTTTCTTTTATAGCTAGTCCGCCCTTATATAAGGTCGCGGTTATAATATATAAGAAACTAATACTAGCTATCTTAGGTATTTATTATAAGCTATACTTATAGAGGGCTAAGGCTATACTATAGCGATCGTATTAAAGTTAAGCTAAAGTAGACCTATATATAAGTAGAGCTCGACCTAAACTTAGGCTAAATAGTACTTAAATATAGGTCGAGCTAAGGACTAAGGAAAATAGATAATTAGCGCGACTAAGATATAGTTTTCCTTCTTTCTCCTTAGCTTTAAATAAATAACTATTCGGCCCTATACTACTATACTAAGTATATACTAGTACTTAATATATTTAAAGTTCCTTTTAAATAAGGCTATAAAGCTTAAAAAGAGATTAAACTTAAAGGATATAATATATATATCTTAATAACTTAGAGGGGGGAGAATAAGCCTATAAATAGCTAGGAGTAGTAATAGGAGGGCCTAACGCCCGGCTAATAATAAAGTAAGCGATACTTTTACTATAAGTAAGAAAGGTAGAGATAAGGTATTAAGTAATATAAAGCTAACTATAAATATAAGAACTAATTAACTAGATTAAAAGGATATATTAAAAGATAAATAAACTAATAAGGATATATATATAAAAAGGGGCTAGTAATAAGATAAGTAGGTTAATACTACTTTTAAGAGTAATAGGGGGGGTAATAACGCTAATAATTAAGAGTATTACTATTTATATAGATAAAAGTCTTTATTTATATAAACGATCTACTTTTTCTACGCGTACCCCGCTTACTTAGGCCCTGCTACTTAATTTAGCTATACTAATATAGTAAAGAAGGGAGCCACGCTAAGTATAGCGTAAAGCCTTACTAAGGGAGAAATCTACCCTTCCTACCTATATCGTAAAGTAAAGCTATTCGCGATAGACCTATAATTTATCCTTAACGAGCTTACTAAAGAGCCTATTAAAGAGCCTATTAAATAGCCTACTAAATAGCCTATTAAAGAGCCTACTAAAGAGCTTATCGGGCTACTAATTCTACCTCTACCGCCCTCGCTAACCTTTAACTCCTTTAACGAGCTCTATAACTTCTTTTAGAGCTTTTATTATAGTTATAGTATAGCTATTATTAAGAGCTCTAGCTTATATAAGCATAAGATTAATAGGTAGGTCTTACCTATATATATTATATTTATTTATAATTATAGCCTTTAACGAGCTTTATTAAGTAGCGGCCTTTATAAAGCTTCCTTATAAAAGCTTAACTACCCTATTAAGATTATTATATCTATAATAAAGAGATCCTATTAAAAGTAGACTTTTCGTATTAATAATAGTTAATATAACTATAGGTAATTAATCGACCTTTTAGCTTATAATATCTATAGCCGCTAAACCTAAGTATAGTAAGAGCTTAAGAGAACCCTTTTTAAGTATTATACCCTCCTAGCTCGCGAGATAGCCTCGATTATTAAGGACTCTATTAAAGAGAGCTTCTTTTACTAGCGAGATATATATAATAACTATTAAAAGATCTATACCGCGGCCCTTAGTAGTAAGACTATAACCTAGGCTTTTATTAATTACCTTTAACGTAGCGGCCTTAAGTATATAGTTAAATTTAGCGACGGTAATAATAAGTAAAAGGTTAAGGCTATCTTTTAAATATACCCTTAGTATAAGTATATATAGAAGCGCTTTCTAGAAGTCTTAGGACTTAATAATATATATAAAATAAACCGGTTAAAATATATCTTTTTTAAGCTATTAAAGTTACTAATTAACGGTTTATAGCTAACTTCGCTTTTAGCTTTATTAATATAGAGAAGGAGGAAGGGTTTTAATAGCTTTATAAACGCTTTAATAAGCTTTACCTTAAAGTTAGGGTCCTAGCGCCTTTATAGTTATTATAGATAAGGAAAAAGCCCTTAAAAACATACTCTTATACGTTTTCCTTTTATTATAGTAATAACTTTATATTTACTATATTAACGCTAATATTAACGCGAAAATTAAGTTATATTAAAAGGAGCTTAATAGCGTTAACGATAATAATAATAATAATAATAATAAAGCTAGTAGCGTTAATAGCGCTAACGATCTTATTAATATCTTCCTTAGTAAAGTCGCTATATAAAAAGAAGCTAAAGATAAGGTCTTAAGCGTATAACCTATATAACTTAAAGACTATAGCTATAAGGGGATATTTACTACTTAGAAGGCTATTATCTACTCCTTAACTAAGGTAGGCTTTTAGTTAGCTTAGCGGGCGCTTAATTATAAGTATAGATAATACTAAGGCTATATTTCTTATAAAGAGAGATATAAGAAGTATATATAAAATGCACGAAGGTAAAATTAAAAGTAAGAGGTTAGATAAGTA